TAACAGAAGCAAACAAGGAGCTGTGCTCAGATAGAGTAATGTTGTCTCTATGTCCTCCTACAAAGACAGAGGACTAGGGAAGGTGGAGAGATTCTGTGGAATGCTTTCAAAACACTGCTGCTTGTGGAGAACACCAGGATATTCTCTGCTTGATGGCTGACAATCCAAGATTTGGACAAGTGAGGTCATCCCCTAGAGGGTGTATGGGCAGTTGGACAAAGGAACTAGCCTGGGGGTCCAGAGGCTCTCCACTATGAGAGCTCCATCCCCACTCACTGTCTGACCTCAGGGAAGGCTTTTTCTCTCTCATTGGACCGTTGGGCTCCTCTCCTGGTAAATGGGACCAGCACAAAGGTCCCTGGTGGTCAGTATAACCTGGTAAAGCATAAAACAGCATCACTCTAGGGGAAGTCTGAGGTCCCATCCCCTGGTCCTCATGGGAAACAGACATCTTCAAGAACACAAGGGTCCCCTCCACACAGTATGGAATAAACAGAAGTGATGCTTTTCCTGATGTTATATCATACAACTGTAAAATTCTCACCTCTGCAATGGGGGAGCCTCAACCCCACCTCAGGATGGAACAAGGCTGCCAAGCCCAGGTCAGGGATGGAGGGGGTTGTTTCTGTGAGAGAAGGGAGGACAGGCAGGAGGTGGCCCGGCTCAGGCTGGAAAGGAGGGAATTACTGGCTAGTTTAAAAATGAATCCTGACAACTCTAATGGGAAGAAAACTCTACTTTCCTCTTAGATTCTCAACCACTGTGAAGAAATCAAGAAACAAGCGCCTCACACTCCTCATATCCTTCACTGAGGATTGAAGAAAAAGCAGCGGAAATAAGCCCCTAGCTGAAGAGTTCATCAGATATAAGAACTGACTTTCTAACTGGGCTAACTACTGAGGACTGGAAAATACCAAGAGAAATGCGTGGCAAATCTTTCCTAGAAAACTCTTAGAAAGAGCACAGAAATTCAGGCTTAACACGGGATTTCAGTCTCACTTCCCTCTTCCTAATACACACACACACACATTTTGAAACAATTGCTTCTCTGCACTCCAGAGACTGGCATCACAGAGATGAGAGATTTAAAAAAAACTATTACGTGACCCATCCGAGGTCATGAGGTCATTGAGAGGTGCGAGAGGAGATATTCCTAGATATTCAAGGATGACCCCACCCTCTGAGGTCTTCAGGGACACCAAAGGAGAGATGCCAGAGAAAAAATAAAAATCAAGAGAACAAATAATCAACCACTTGGCTTGGACTTCTTAGAAAAGCTCTTAAAACTTAAAGTTGAGGCAAGAGAGTTCTGATTTGCAAGAACTGGAGATACAATGCAAAGACCAAAGGCTGGAAGAAGCAGAACGCTCAGAGACTCACAAGACCAGGTGTCAGACCCTGCCTCACACGCCTGCGACACTCACACCCAGCCCTGAGCCAGGCTGAGGCTACAGGAAGTACCCGTTCGGGAAGGAGAAGAACAGATGCAGGCAGGTGAGGCCCCAGGAAAGCTTCTGCTCACCCCCGTTCTCCAGCCAAACTCTGGGTCCCAGGCAGGGATGAGATGCTTGTGAAACCACAGGCAGCTGAACGGCCCCAGCGACAAAGCAGCCCTGGGCTCACCTACCATGTGGAAATCTAACTGGGGGCAAGCTTTGTGGAACTACCGTCTGCATAAAATAGAAACGGCTGCTCAGCAGATCCAAGGACAGAGGGCTTGAGAGAGCACCCTCACCAGTCTTTCTTGGACACTAAAACATTATGAAACGACATGCACAAGTTTTCTGTGGCCCTGAGGGGGGCCAGCAGGGGCTGCATGAGGACGAGTAAACCCAGAAGAACAGGACCTAGAAGAGCAGGCACCGGGTCTGACCCAATGGTGGCAATAAGCACAGTTCACGACGGGAGTCAGATATCTTCCATCGGACACAGGGAGTGTGCACACAGCAGGCCAGCTCACCGGAGGCGGCGATAGCTCTCTGCAGATGAATACCAGGGACAGACAGTGGCAGGAGCCACTGCCCTGCAGCTCCACAGTGCAAAAGCCACCACAGACTTCCGAGCGTTGCAATACACCCTGGGATTAACAGAATCTATTTAGAAGAGACTTCATTACTATTGTTACCATCACATGGAACTGAAGCTCAAAAGAGAGATCAGACTGAAAAGAAAATGTCATCAACGACAACTGTGACTGCCACACTTCTGGCACACCTGCATTTGGGAGACCACGAAAGGTCGTTTCTGCAGGAGGCCCAGAAGCAGGACTGCTTCTGACATAGCTTGGAGCCCCGACGTGTCTCAGGAAGGTGGAGGTCTCTGCTCCCACTGCCTGCAGCTTCTGTGATGTCACGGCCCCTCATTTCACCTCTGACCTCCACTTCGCACCCTCTCCCTCCCCTTCATCCCCACTGCTCGAGACAGCCTCATGGGAAGAACTGTCAAATCAAAGGAAAAGGCCGGCCTTCCCTCCACTCTGCCCAGGTAAAATGTTATTAAGCTCAATACTGCATTTCATCTAATGACCCAAGGGACTTATCACTGCCTTCACAGCCCATAATGCATTCTTATCCCCCAAGTGAACATTGATCAAATCTGTATTAAATAGTTAAGCATTATACCCTGATAGGATGTTGTTTGCTATGTAATTGCATGTGTAATTAGTTAACGACAGCCATGCAGCCTTCTCGGCAGGTAATTTCTGCTTCCCCCACACACTGTATAATAACTCTGCAGTAAGTCACAGCCCAGAAAGTGGGTCTTCAACCAACAAGGACAATCTCAGAGCCTCAGGCAAAGAACTGTACCAAGTTTGATCGATACTTCCAGTAACAGACTCATCATTGCAAGCTTCCAAGGTGATATTTCTCAGACAAGCATCAGATGATGTGAGACACAGTGTGGAGTTAGAGAGCTCCTTTCCGGGCAAAGGCAGAGGACTTCGCAAAAGCAAATCACTGGTCTGAGAGCCAGTGGAACAAAAAATAATTAGGTACGACTATAAGAACTAATGAAGGACATATAATTTTGATTATTTGTTTTGGAATACTGTTAGTATTCCTTTTTTATTGTTGTCATTTTATTGTTGTCATTTCTATATGAAGTCTCTTCTCATTCTTCTTGATTTATCTCTTACAATTAACTTAGTAGTTCACCCTTTTTTAAACATTTTCAAATGAAACACTTTTAAATGGCATTCTTGTTCTCACTGACCTTTCAGGATTCTCGAACACGCTCTTTTCTAAGTCTCTTCGCTGTTAATGGCAATGCAGTAACTTGCAAATGTTCAGCAAGAATTTTGTTCTAATTTTTACCAGAACATAATTAAAACAAATGCATGGTACAGGCAAGGCTGTACCTGGAGTGTCATATTTGAGAGTTAATCTCATTTAATTAGGTGTGACAAGCCCACCATTAAGAAATAGGCACCGGGGTGCCTTGCCGGCTCAGTCAGGAGAGCATACAAGTCTTTATCCCTGATTTGGGTGTTCAGGCCCCATGTTGGGACAGAGTTTACTTAAAAAAGAAAGGAAGCAACAGGCACTGTACTTCATTTGAAGGCTTCTCAGGAGACCAGTCTGTTACCTCACCATGGCAAATCAGGAAGCCTGAGCAGATTTGGGGCCCCTGAGGAGAGGTGAAGCCACTACCTCATGGAGATACCATAGGCAAAATAGTGGAGGTGACTTTGCTGGTTTAGTTTCTTCATCTCAGGATAGAGGAGTAAATAAGACCAGTAAACAATACACCTGGAATAACAGAGACTACTGAAACTTCCTATGGTTATTAAGAAATCCTCAGACAGAAGTGAGTTTTCTGGGTTTTGCAGTTTCTTCACACCACAGGGCTTTAGGTTTTCAGACCCTATGCCAAGGGGGCACAAGTACACAAATGAACACTTCTTACTGAAGTTGTATAAATGGATCAGACCCAAACACAGGGAGATCAGCTTTTTGCTCATCAAGAGGAATTTCTGGAGATTAGTTGTGACCCTAGAGCTTCCACATTCTGAGCCAAATCTTCCAAAGAGTATCTTAGCACAATATTCCTGCGATGGCCACCATGGACAAATGCACATTCCAGCATCTTCACATATGTGCCCTGGAAAAGTCAATGGGACCTATGAACAAGGGAAGGCATAAACACATTCACCCAGATCACCCTCCCCCATTACCTACAGAAGACGCCTTAGAAGAGACGTGCGTGCCTGTGCACACACACTCATTCACACTCAGAAACGTGCAACATTTTCCATGGACCAGCAGCGACGAGGGAGAAAGCCCAGCTCCACAGAAGGAAGAGGCAAACTTCCAGCTTGGGTCTCATTAAGGAAGGCTCAGAAACAGGCCAAGGCCAGAGCGACAGCCTTCCTTTCTCCATCACTGAAACATCCAAATAAGGCCAACCTCCCCTGCCCCCTCAGCCATGAGAGAGAAACCACTGTCCCTGGACAGTTTTTCTCCTTTCATGTGTCACCTGGCTCCGTGCTACATTCTGAGCAGAATATACAAATGAAGATACGCCTTTGGTGGTGGTGGGGGGGAGGGGTACCTCTACACTGTCGTGGCACCTCTACACTGTCGTGGCTTCTCTGCAGTCTCTGTTTTGAAATGCACCCTTGAGAAGTTCAAAAGACTTAGAGATTCAAGGTCAAGGAAGACCAAGACGTAGCCCAGGGCAGGCTGGGGTCTGAGAGGTGAACAAACCCACTCTTCTCATGTCACAGCTGACGTGACCTCTGAAAGAACCTAGTGCATAATCTGGTGTCATGGAATCATTTTGCAAGACTCAGCTCTTCCTCTTCTTTTTAATGGTAGCTGAAGGCAGTTCAGATTCAAGTCCCTACACAAGCTGGAGTACTTGCCAAGCCCCTCCATTTCCCCCATGTGGGCTCAAACAGCTCTGTTAACCTCCAACTTCCAGGCACGGGGGTTGGGTGGGGGAGGCAGAGCTTGGCCACATTGGCCTCCCTCCAAGGGTCTCCTGTGATCCCCACTCACCATTCTTTTGTGTCTTGAGTTTTGGTGGCTCGGGCTCCGGGAGACATGGACAGGGCCCATCACAGAGGACGGTGAAGCTTTTGCCAGTAGAACAAGCATGGAACTCCAACTTGCACTGCAAAAGAGAGGCAGAAGAGGCTTTAAGAAGGCAGCTGAGCAGACCCCCCCACGTGGTGTCCCCAGGAAGCAGCTGTCTCTCTCCAGCCAGGTGGGCTCATGGGAGCAGAGACAGAGAAGGAAGGAGTACATCTCAGGTAGATTGCTGAAAAAGAAATGGCCTTTCATGTCTTTCTGAAGACACGGGGTAACCTCTGAGACCACCGGAGAGCACTGTGGTGCTTACTTTACTCGATGATAAATGCAGCTGTAACTGTTAACAGAAGTACTCATCCAAAATGACATCTCAGAGTCCCAGGGGTCCACCAAGGCCCACCCCTTCCGCAGAAGACCACCTCCCTCCATTTCCTTACTCTTTCCCTAGGGTACCTCTGCCCCAGTACAGGGATCCTAGACTCTCTCAGCTACTCATATGCTCTCCCTGGGCACAGGGGCAGGGTAACCCCGAGTTAACACCCTGGGTGATGTGTGTGAGGCCCAGCCCTGACCCACCCAGAACATGCAAGGAGTGACTGCTTTTGCTTTGACCATCCCAAACCTGAGTGTTATACAGTCCTTCCCCGCAGAGGATACCCATGGGTGTCTCTAGCACAGGACTGGGTGCAAGCACCCATCTAATTCTTAGATTCAGGTTGAAGCCCAAAAGTCGCCATCTCTTCATGTCAACCCTTCATCAGCTACACTGGTAGTGTTCTGGCCACTTCCTGCCTGTTTCACTACTTCTGCCACTTTTACCGTCAAGTCTCAACCGGTTCAGAACACAGGCCGGAAAGAATGTTGTTTACAGGTGCAAAAGAGCATAACAGTTAACAGAATTTTTAGGATCCTGACATCTAAGGGATAAGACATGGACTCAGAGCAGTTAAATAACCCACAAAATATCATGATGCTCTTTTGGGGTGGATTCCAAGCCATGTCTGAGTGTGGGGCTCAGACCCTGGTCCTACAACATCGCTGTTTCCACGTGGAGAGCACATATTCCATACGGTACCCCAGGTTGCTACTGGCCTCCTTTTCAGTTGTCTGACAGTTTATTCTTTTTCCACTTATACAGTTCTCAAGATCCAGGTCTGCATGTAATCAACCTTCTGCTAAGGCCCACGGGCTGAGAAACACATGTGTACCTGGTAGAGGTTCCAAAGAAGAGGAGGCAAGCAAAATTTACTGAGCACCCACTTTGTCTGTTATTCTTATCAGAGGCCATGGGGAATCTTTTACAAGGGAAAAAAGAAAAAGGGAAGTTACAGTCCTTGCCCTTGGAAAACACAAATGTGTACCTCTGAAAAGCCCACAAGCATTTGCAAACCAGCACACCCGAGGACAGCTGAATACCGAGAAGGCCCGGCTATTCTGTTCCCATCCCGATGACAAACCCAGGGCAAGAGTGTTTCAAACCTGGCTCTGAACCTACGGGAGTCACTCTGAGTAACTCCAAGCGTCACTCACACAGTGGCCAGCCTCACGAGAGAGAGCGTGACAGACAAGCCCATGGGGTGATGACTTCCCCTTGAGGCAAATGCCTTTTGTACAGACTTGTTAGCCATCTAGTATGTGCGCAGTGTGGCTGGAGGGGTGGTGGGGACTGGATGAAAGGCAGCCATGGCTCAGCCTCCAAACTCAAGAACTCCATGAAGAGGCAAAAAAGACCACGTCCTTCTAAAGCCGTGCGGCCACGACTATGAGGCGGTCAGGAGTGGTGTGTGTGGAGGGATGGGAACAAAGTAGCCCCATAGGAATGGGATGGACTGCCGCCAGCCAGAGGGACAGAATGTAGCCAAGAGGAAGACTGGAAGGGAAGCGGCGGGTGTCCGTGTAAAAAGCTTTTTCTCAAATCCCGCAGCCAGTGTGCACATGCTGGAGAGAAGAACACCGTGGCCAGCCCCACCTCCTCCCGCCGCCCCTCTGCTCTGAAACAATCCTGCTTCAGTTCTCAAACTGTTTGCTCAAGAGACTCTCCAAAGCTAAGTTAGGGGCAACAGTATATTTGTGTATGAAAAATTATTTTGTGAAGTCAAAACTTAATACATTTACTTACTAAAAATCCTACTGTGACTAAATTGCTGGTTCATATCCTTGATAGACTGTAAGACTCTTCCCAGACATTCCCCGGCCTTCCCTGAAAGCGGAATCTTGGCTTCGTTCACCGCCCACCTGGGAAAATGGGACCCCCTCCCCGAGGACCTCTGTCCTGGCCACGTGACTCGCTCTCCCTGGGGACTGCGAGTAGGTGTGACCGGCCGGGGTTGAGCAGATGTTTTAAGAACCACTGCTTACTCATATCTCCTCTTTTGCTCTTCCCTCTACCATGAAAATGACACGAACCACACTAGGGCTGCTCCTGTGGCCTGGGGCCCAGAGGGCGAGGGCAAGCACCAGAGCTGCAGCGAGCCCGCAGCCAACACGAAATAGGAACAAGGAGTTAATGTCTGCTGGCTGCCACAAGCCACTGATGTTTGGGGATCCTTCCTGAGCACAGCATAACATAGCCAAGGGTGGCAGCACTGACTTCCTACTAGACCATGAGGTACTCGTCAGCTGGAAAGTCACGTCTTCTCCCAGGCACATAGTAGGTGTTCAGTAAATAGTTGCTAAAGGATATGGGTGGTGCTCCCCAGGCTCCTCGGGGCCTCCGCTCTGGTCCCCAGCTGCGATCACCTCACCCGCACAAGGAACACAGGTGCTGGAGCTCAGCCTTCGGGGTGTTCCCGTCAAAGCATCCTTGACCCACACCTGCTGCCTGAGGCCTCTCCTTGAGCTCCCGTCCAGCATTCGGCCTTCTAGCCTCCCCGCTCACCCTCAACCATTGATGGACTCAGAATCTCATCCATTTGCTTCCCAGATGCTCGGGAACACCCGTTTTCCTGGGGGGGCCTGCCCTCGCCCAAGAGTCCCTGCAGACTGTGATTCTGGTAACTCTGCTTCCTCGGCCGGCCCCAGAACCCCCTCTCGTGGACAGCCGCTGTCACAATCTGCGGAGGCAGCCGGGCCTCCTCCCGGACCCCGGGGAGGTGCTATCAGAGAAAACAAGATTTATCTGCACCAGTGGAAACCCGTGTTTCAAGGGCACAGGCCTGCTTTTTTATCTTCCAGATAGAATGTGTCATTTAAATGAAGCTCGAAGGACTAGAATTCCATTTAATATAAAGCTCAACACGTGCTATTTAGAGATACCTATATATGTGTAATATATATTGGGAGGTAGGGTGACAAATACCAAGACAGGGGCGACCTCTGGGGCAGAGGCAGGACGACGGCCCCCGACAGGAGCCCAGAAAAACACTGTGAAGCCTGAGAATGGTTTATTCCCCAAAACTCAGTGATAGATTCCAAGGCTTTGGTCATTGGGCTTGACAACTTATAGAAACAAGACATCTACATTTGTGTATCAAATATTTCATGAGGAAATATAAAACAAAGTTGACATGCTTCCATCAAAGTGATGACGGAGCTCTACCCACGCCTCCCGGGGACTGTTGCTAAGGGGAGTAAATGAGGGCACACGTGGGCACCCGCGAGTAAGGGGAGAGGGCACCTGGTTCTGAGTCTGGCCGGGACTGTTGCTGGGCAGGGGGTCTCCTCGGGGCACCTCACGCATGTCCCTGTCCCATAGCACTTCACTAAGGCCCAACCCCTCTGCCCCAGGCTCTCGCTAGGGAAGAACAATTACACAGGCCAAAAGGTGGTCACTGCACCAGCTTTCCTCACAGGGGCCAGGCCACTTCCAAAGTACAGCGCTTCCCGCTAGAGTGGGCTGCCCCAACCGAGGCTGTCACGCCGAGCAAAGGGCTCCAATGCCCTCTCCCAACCTGCAGGCCACAGATGCTCAAGAACGTCCTGGCCACTCACCTTCAGTCCCAAGTGGAGAAAATGCACAGAGCCTCTGGGCTCTGCAGAAGTGTGCCCTGTGCTGTGGAGAGAATGATTCTGAAAACTCCAGGCAGGTATGCTAGCCCTCCTGTAGAGGGCTGCCAAGAGAACGGGGCCAAGAGAAAAAGAGGCAGCTCATGGTACTTTTCCCACGCAGCCATCCCATGACTAGGCTCTGGACCTAGCAGACACTGGGCTCTGACCTATCAGGACAGGAGCAGCTTCCTTCGGAAAAGATGGGGTCAGAATGCAGATTCTCCCATAGAGATGTGACGAGGGAGACCCAGGTGTCTCCTGACACCACAGGGATGGCACTGGCTCCTTTCACACATGACAAGCCTCCAGAATGGCTACACCTTCTCTCTCACAGTGTGCTCAGAGCTGCAGGTACAAGGTGGCAAAATCATGGACGGCGATTTGTTGGCAGGAAGGACGTGCTCCGGTGGCACTTACTGGCTTCCTCCACACCAGCCCTGGAGGTACTAGGGATGCACACCATCTGCCAGCACCTGCTGGCCTTCACTGACCTGCATCAGAGCAGTGTCTGCAGGTTCCAACTTAAAGAGGGTAGACTGGGAGCCTACCCCTTAGAGTCTGGGCTTGGAGGTGGAAAAGCAAAAAAAAAAAAAAATAAATAAATAAAACAAAACAATCAAAAAGAACTACAAAATGACACTCTTGGGAACAGATAAAGGAGCACCCATAAAAAAATTTTTTTTAAGGAAGAATTGTGGGGAGAGAAGAGGAGGAAAGAGGTATAAATGCATTTTGGGGATTTAGAGTGGACAGCCAGTCATTTACTCAAAGCTCTCATAGGGCCAAGGCTGCAGGCAAGCCCAGGAGCTCCTTCCCTGGGGAAGGAGACACACTAAACAAATGGAAAGACTCCTAAAGGTGGTCACTGCCACCTTCGGGGGCCCTTCCAGCCCTGGCCCATATCAGAAGTGGATCTAAACAGAGAGCAGTCACCACCGCCCTGACCCCACTTACTTTCTAGAAGAGACAACTTCACACCTTGTGTTAGGTATTGAATTATATCTGTCCTACAAGACATTTGGGAGTCCTAACCCCCAGTATCTTCGAGGGTCTTTACAGAGATCATCAACTTAAAATGAGCTCAACAGCGCCGGT